AGTCAGGGAGAACCTGGACATCTCAAAAGCCTGGAGAGATTTTTCCTTGGGTTTATGTTGGGTTGGTTTCCTGGCTCAGATCCTGTGTTTCCCAGAGCTGACACAGGTGGGAGAGGCTGTACCATATCTGCTGTTACCCACAGGAGATGGCATCGTTTCCACACCAACATGATGGAAAAAAGGATCATTTCCCCTCCAGTTCAGCTGCAGTCTTTGATAACCTGGATCACAGCCCGAGTCTGCTGTCACACAGGTTTAGGATCCTATGATGCAGCACAAAGCAACAAAAACCAAAGCCAACATTTGTTGTGGTCTTTGATAGCTTTCCATCTCCACAGCAGTGTGGAAGAGGTGATGCTCTTCCCTGATACTTTCTGCTGATATCAAACAGGCAAACCTTGGGAATGCATCTGAGAACCAAAAAACATCTGATAAACAGGGAGCAAACTCATTCCAACCCATATTAAATGGGAGAGATGCTGCCAGGGCAAGGAACCACAGGAGCAGAGTGGCAAGGAGTCAGAGAGGAGCTGGGAATGCACTGAAATGGGAGCAAGATCCATGGGAGGCTGTAACGTTCCCCCCTCCATGGCTTGTTCTGCACCAAGCAACTCATTCCAGACAGATATCAACAGCGTGGGAGGCATTCAGAGAAAAAGCAACAAATTTTATCAGAGGTTCTGGAAGGATTAATACCCAGGAAAAGATTAAACCCGTTAAAAGCTCAGCTAAACTCCCATTTCAGAGCCTGCTAACACAGCTTCAATAGTTCCAGAGAGGTATTAGTTATGTATAATGGGGAGAGCTGGGAATCTGAAATGGAGAAAGGCTCCATTTTAACCATCTGAAAGGAAAACACCAACAAAGGATTTTAAACAGAGGATCAACAAGGTGAGAAATAGAAAATCAATTAAGGAATTTTCCCAAGGCAGTCCAGGAAGGCTGGAGGGAGCAGAGCCAGGGGAGAGTCCCTCTCTGCACCAGGAACCAGAACTCTCCAGACCATGAGAGCTTTGGATCCACCTACCCCCAGCAGCCCCAGCCTCCCTCCTGGAAGGAACACAGTGATGCCAAAAACTTGAGGCAATTCCTTCTAATCCTTCCACACTTTTGTACCAGCAGCCTGTGGCTGTTTGGATGTTCAGCCTCACCTTCTCCACCCTTCTGGGAACTCACTTGTCCCAAAAGGTACCTAAGTACTTGGACACATCCTCTTTCTCACCTTAAAAAGGCAAAAATAATCCCATCTCTGTTATTTATTACACTCCTTAGAAATGCAGCTCCTCAAGCAACTTTTAACAACTCAAATCACCAGCCAGTAAATCCAGAGGACATTTGTCAATGTTTCGAAGCACTTTAGTGCCCAAAATAGCCTTAATTAAGTAAGGATAGATAAATACCACAGAATATTGCAACAAAGGTGTCTGCACTATCACTAGTGCCAGTTTAGAGCACTGTTGCACTGGACAAAGCCCCTGGGGTCACTCAGAAGAAGAACTAGGAATATTTTTTTGCATGTAGAGCTGGAGGAATTAAAATCCAGATTAGGTGCTGGTATCAGGCTTTGGCATAGGTGTGCTCAGGGAGCAGCAGCTATCCAGGGGAAAGGAAAGTTTTCCTGGATGCAGCACTCCTGTTTCACAGGGGCAACCATGGAAAGAGATAATCAATGCTCCTACTTTTCTGTGAGCTCTGGACACTGGGAATGCATTTTTCAGGAACTCGTGTGTCTACCCAAAGCTGCTGTCTCAGGTATGCAGAGCCTGGGGCAGCTGTGGCTAGCAAAGGGGACCTGTGCACGCTGTCACCTGGCACAGGTACCTAAGGACAGACTTCCCAGGGGAGCACAGATCTGTCACAAGGAAAGGCACAACCTTGCAGTGCTCAGAGACTGGGTGAGGCTGAAATCTCGTGGGAGAACCTCCTTCAGTCCTTATCCTGTTAGTCCTGCTGCACACGTGGGGATTCCTCGGGGCTGCTCGGGATGGCAGCACCGTCCCCACTCAGTCCCTGCTCTCCAGAGCAGCCAAACACATAACCAATCAGCCAAAACCAAAGCTCTTCCTGCTGATGACACCCCGAATTCTCCTGCAGCAGCCCCAGTGTATCAACCACTCTGTCCAGGGAAAACCCCTCAGTTCCCCACCTGCAAATGTCTGACCCCCCAAGTGCCAACAGCTGAGACTCCGGGACCTCTCAGTGCTGAAGGCAGCAGAGAGTTTGGAAATCTCATTAAAGAGCCCTAAAGTAGAGTCATTATTTCCTAAGGCTCCTTTTGGCTGCAGGTAATTGTTGCAGGCACAACAGGACCGAGGCAGGCAGTCGTGGGATCACAAGTCTCCACCAAGGTTTGTTAGTCGTGGCTGTCACCACGCAGGAGCTGGTGAGCCACAGCTCCAGCTAATTAAAACTGCAGGAGGGGAGCATTCAGTAAGTCCGAGGACAATTATCCAAAGAAGAATTTTGCCAGGACACTGTGACTTAGCCCAGTGCTTTGTGCACAAAGTGCTGAAGGAGTTTAATTGTCACCGCTGATGGGAACCCGCTCCGTGACTCATGCCCAGCTCACAGGAGCTGCTTTCCCTACTCCTGATTTACTTCCAAAGCCACCACTCCACCACCAGGACCACGCTGGGAAGGGAAAATGTCCTCTGCATTTCAGAACACCAGGCTGGATCCATGGTTTCCATTTGGGCCCATCTCTAACAGCTGCAGCTACCAGGGCAACTGGAGCGAGAGCCAGCAGAGGGGGCTGGAATTTGGGAGGAGTCCTCAGGAACTGGAGGTTTTTTCCTGACATAAAATAATGTAGTCTTTAAATGTGCATTTTCCAATTCTTTCAAGCATCTAACTTCTAAAACTGACTTGGGCTTTATTTAATCTTTTAAACACCAAAAAAAAACCCGAGTTAAAATGTCATAATAAGAAGAAAAAAAAAAAAAAGGAACAAAAAAGCGTAACTGCTTGAGTTATGCTCTTAGACATTTGTCAGGATAATTTTATTCCTTCCAAAACACAAACTCCTTCCAAATGGTGAGCAAGGCTTCAGTTTGAAAGCTGCAAGGTCAGGGTAACACAGGTTTGTGTTACCAAAGCAGTGAGAGTCCCATCCCTGCACACACCTTTGGAGTGGCCATTCCCAACTCTTCCTCCCATATCAATCCTGTCCAATTAATTCATCAGTAAGGACAGATTTTTTTTTTTTCCCCTGGCTACTGTGCGTTAATTAGCGCAAGGGTTGCCATGGGAACCCAGCAACACTCGTTAGCACCACAGAATTCACCATGTTGGAAGTGAACGTGGGCAAGAGCCCTGCACCAGCTCCAACAGTGCCAGAGCTGGGACGTGCTGCAGCCAGATTGTTTCTCTGATGGAGGCTCTGACGTCTCTGCTCAGTGCAAGTTGGAAAAACTTCTAAAAACCTGGATATTGCAAGGATCTGTGGTGATGGGGAATGGCTTTAAGCTGAAGGAGAGTGGATTGAAAGGGAATATTGAGAAGAAATTCTTCCCTGTGAGGGTGGGGAGCAAAAGGTGCCCAGAGCAGCTGGGGCTGCCCCTGGATCCCTGGGAGTGCCCAACAGGCTGGACACTGGGGCTTGGAGCAGCCTGGGACAGTGGAAGGTGTCCCTGCCCATGGCAGGGGTGGCACTGGATGGGTTTCGAGGTCCCTTCCAATACAAATCCTGCTGGGATTCTGTGACATCAGGACCAGTTACTGGGAAGGTCAGTCTGAGCACAAGCTCCATTTTCCTGATGTTTTAACAAATACAATTTAGGACCCTGGCAAGAATCAAAGTGAAGCAGAACAGGTTAAACTGAGAGTGTATCAAAAAAGCTCAGGCATGGGCCCAGCCCCAGGCACTCACTGCAAATAATTATCAATAATTATTAATAAACCTTTCTCCAGCTTAAAGCCTGTGGCACAAACTGCTGTCAGCAGCAGGGTGAGCCATGGCAGTGACCAGGCTGCTCTGAAGGGGTCCCAAACACCCCCTGCCTGGAGGGATCTCCACTCCCAAGCCTCTGTTCCTCTGGATTTGCAGCCCTGTGACACCCCAAGGGAGGTTTCTCCATCATCACATTCCTGCCTGGTGATCAGACACTCCTCCTAGGATCCTGGATTTTGCTGGGATCATCCCACACCTGCTGGTTCCTTGCTCTGAAGCAGCTCTACTCAGCAGCTCTGTCCTCAGAGCACTCCCAGAGCAGCTCCTGCTCCAGCAGCACCTGCAGGCCAGCCAAGGCTCTCTGTGCCCACCTGCAGACACATCCTTCATCCCCCTGCCCGTCCCTGGGCAGTCCCACTCCTGTGCAATGCTGCCCATCAGTCTGCCCCTGTCCAAGTGAGGCTGCACCACTGTCTGCTATAGGGCATTAATCTCTCCTGGAAATCCTTTTTCTAATCCATCCTTCAATCATACCTTTTTTCCTGCCCATGTCACACTGTCAGCTCCCTGCCAGCCTCTGATCCCCTGGTGGAGCCAGGCTTTGTCCTGGAAGCTGCAGCAGGCTCTGCTGTCCCTGGGAGCCTCACACTGCTGCCCTGTGCTGTCAGGGACCTCAGCCCTGCTGGAACCCTGGGAATATTCCACATCCTCCTCTGCAGGAACATTTATGGCTTCTAAATAGTCCACTTGCACTATCTGGGTAAAATTAGACCCAAATCTCAGCACTGTGATAAGGAAGGTATTTCAGAAGCAGAACAAAATGCCAGCTTCCCCCAGCCAACAAAACCTAAAAGCAAGCAGGGATCTGCCTGCACTTGGCTGAGCCAGCTCCTGAGGAAGGCAAGGCCAGGTTCTCACCAGCAGGTCAAGGCAGAGCCCCCTCTCCTCCACTTACTGGAAGAGAAAGAATTTTGGCTTCTCCATCATGTGAAATAGCAGAGACCCCAGGAAAAACCCACCCTGCTGAGGGCAACTACCTTCCCCCTGCACCTACAAACGCTTCACTAGGAAGGAGAAGCCAGATATGACATTTTTAACCCTTTTCCCTTTCTTTCTCTGCAGAAGGATATACATGGCTTGTGTTAAATCCTGAAGAAGGAACAGGAACATGTCCCTGCAGAAGGTGTGGTGGCTTCCCACATAATGCCACCTCCAAACACCTCCTCCTACTCCGGGACTGCTTCCCACTCAGCAGATCCTCCTCTCTCACACTGCAGCACCAGCCATGCCACAGCTCAGCACAGCTGTGTAATGAGAACCAACCCACACACCTCTGGATTTTAAGGGAAAGAAAGGGACGTTCAGGTTCACCAGAGCAAGTTATGAGGGCAAGCTCAGCTTCACCAGGAGTATCCACATTAAGAAAATTTAATTTCATCAAGCCATTAAAGAAACCAAGCTGAAAAAGATCCCCATTGCCAAGTTTTTCCAGCCTTTGACATCATTTTCTAGCAATCCACCCGCAGGAGTTTTTCTCATCTTGAATAAATGGTCGTTTTTGCACCTAAGGGAAGAAGAAAACATTTTCTATACTTTCAAACCTTCTCTGGCATCTCCATCAAGCTCAAATCCCTCCTCAAAATACTCTCCAAACTCTGGGGAAAAACATTTGTGCCTTGTGCTAAAAGCTCCAGAAACTTTCCTTCACAGGCTGATGTTTGTGCAGTGACTCGCTTTCCTCTTACATAAATCAAGGCCCCAAAAAAGACATAAACAGTGAGGAACAGAAATGCCAAACCAAGGCTGGTCTCCAAAGCCCAGCTGAATGGGAAACCTATAACAAGAGAGACTCAGCTTCTGGAAAAACAACTTTTTGACAGCGCAGAGCATCTCCCATGCCCCCACGCCCACTGCTCTACCTCAGGTCAGAGGGACTCAGAGCTTTCATGTCACACAGTCCAAGTGGAGAGAGCCCTCCTCAAACCAAGGGCACTAATTATATTAATGAAGGCTTAAGGTCAGTACATCCCCATCAAGCCCAAATTGCTGTTTCCTGAATTAATAGTTCTCCGTCCAGTTTCAAGCAGATGGGAATCCAGAAAGCACCAGCGGAGCTGGGAAATCAATGTCAATATGCTAAATCCAGTAGATTTAATTTGTGGATTTTAGGAGAGTGAATGAGATCAGGACTGGGTCTTCTTGTGCCAAGGTAGGATTGGGTTACCTACTCCTGCAGGATTCCTGGTAAAGGGAAGAATAACAAGGGAGATCAAGAATTAAGGGGAATGAAGAAAGTAGACAGGTTATCCAAATTTGCAACAAGATATAACTATACTTGGTTAATTCCCAGGCATTTAGTGAGTATCCAAGCAAAAAAAAAAAAAATCCAGGAAAAAATAATCAACATGCACACAGCCCCAGGGGCCACAGCCATGCACTCCCAGCCCTGTACATGCAGAGGTGCAGGTACAGCCCACACACAATAATGCCATGATCTGATTCCAGCTGCTTCAGGCCATAATCCCTTATACAAAGTGGGGCTTATGGACTTTCAATGTCTTTGTTACAGAGAGAACCCAAAAACTCCTGTGAACTGCTCAGTGGGTGTGAGTATGCAGTTCTGCCTGTCAGGGGCCAATAAGGCCCTGCTCTGGACACAGTCCCTGCCACCCTTGGGACTGCTGTGACTGAGGCCAGGACCTGCCCCAAGGAAGGGCTGGGGACAGGCAGGCAAAGGTTAAAGCAGAGGAACACGGCTCGAGGAGCTGGAGGCGCCGTCACTGGCGACTCAGCAGCGCTCAGATCAAGTGACCTGACACAGCACAGCTGCTCTGGGTCCTCAGCACAGATCCGAGGATCTGCCTCCCCAGAGCAAGCTCTCCCCTCCTGTAAGCCACTGAGCAGCAGAGGAGTGCTGCTTGTCCAGGCTCCTGCAGCTCTGGAACACGTGGAAATGTTGGAAGCTCTAGGCCTGCCAGTCTCCAGGAGTGATTCTTGCTCCGGTGTCCAACCTGGGAACACTGAATGCCAACCAAAACTAAGCAGCTCAAGGAGACAAGAGACATGCTTGGGGAGGGAGCACCGAGAAGCAGCACAGCAAAACCAGCCACATGCCTACAACCCTTCCCTGCAGCTCCTCAGCTCTGCCTCAACCATTACTGCTGCTTCAGTGCCTCAGAGCTACCAAACATGTCTGTCAACCTCCACTGCAAACCTCCTGGATAAGAGATGGAACACTCGCCTGATCCTTCCCTCCAGGAGTTAATGCCTTTTATTTGGCCAGATTGGATGCTCTGCCAGTCACTGCCTCCCTCCAAGCCCCCCATGTTGGGCAGGCACAGCTGTGAGCCCCTCCAAGCTGGGACTGAAGCTCCAGTTTTTCTGCCAGCTCAGGCTCTCCCCTTATCTCTCCTGTCCCCTCACTGCTCTTCCTACATTTCCTCTCCAGCAGCTTCCATCTGAGCATTGCCCTGCACTGGGAGCTGCAGTGCTCTTGTTGCCAGAGCTTTCCTGGGCAAGGCAGATGTATCCTGATGCATGCAAATGATGCCAGCGTGCAGGAACTTGCTTCGGACAGAGCCGGGAGTTTGCAGTGCGAGGCTGCTCTGGAAATGTCACTGTGCAGGATCCGAAGGGGCCTCCACCACCTCCTCATTCCCAAGGCCATCAAGGTGTGTGCAATGCTTCCTCCACCTGGGTGAAAACACTCACAGAGTCATCCATCCATCCCTCAGTCCATCCATCCATCCATCCATCCATCCATCCATCCATCCATCCATCATCCATCATCCATCCATCCATCCATCCATCCATCCATCCATCCATCCATCCATCCATCACTCTATCCCTCCATCCCTCCCTCAGATTTTCCAGGCTCACAGAGAAATCCCAGCCACGAGGCAGCAGCACCATGCCTGTATCTGGCCTCCCTCAGGGTTGCAAAGCATCACTTGGCATTACTTATCTATACCTCCAACTCCAAAATCCAGCTTGTTTCTCCTTGAAGGTGCTGCAGGTTCACAGCTCAGCAGGTCACAGGTATATGAACTGCTACCAACCCTGCATTTTCAGCTTCTGAGCACTCTACAGCATCTCATCCCAAATTCCTTGCTTCAACCAGCATAGAAAGTCCTTTTCTCCAGCATCGTGGATTCTTAACAGAAATTAAGCTCAACACAACACAACCTTCTCCCATACCCTCCTAAACTTGTTTTATCCCTGCTGCAAACCCAGTGCAGCGGGGCTGACAAGCACAGAGTGAGCCTAAGAATTCTAAAGAAAAATACAGAAACTGAAGAAAACCTAAAGAAAAATGAAAATGAAACTGCAAACTGGGTTCCCCCAGCTGGATGACAAGGAAAGCACCTGGTGTCCATGGGAAAAGCTGTCATGGTCCTGCAATTCCCTCCCTGCAGTGCCTCAGGCAGCACTGGGAGTTTTTAAATCACTGTTACCTCAACCATCCTCTTTTTATTTGGGTCTTGCAGAAGGGAGATTTCTCTCTGTTATTTTTAAACTGGAGGCCTTACAGATGCCAACCTTTGCAGAGCAGCTGGCAGCTGGGACGGTGCCCGTGGGAAGGCACCGGAGCCAGGCTTGGAGCCCTGGGGATGCTCAGCCTCCTGTGGCACAGCTCTGGATGAAAAGGAGCTTTCCTTGCTTTCCTCCACTCCCCATCCTCAGTGCTGGAAAGAATTCCAGACTCAGAGGGACCCAAGGGACATTCTGCAGAGAAAACCATGGGCAGCTGATACATCAGGGTAATTCTGGAACTCAAAGCTGGAAGGACTTTATTTTGGCTTTTGTTTTTTTAGTGTTTTTTTAGTGTCTTGCATGAAGTTCTCCTTCTTTCAGTGGTGCCTCTGAAAAATTAGCAACAGAGATTTGCTCTGAGCTTGTAAGCTCCTGTCTGCAGTAATTTGCAAACACCGATAGAAGATTTTTTGTCTGTGTGTGCCTGAAGGACCACGAGTGGGATGAAGGTCCTACAACAGCAATTCCTCACTCAGCTTCCATTGACTGCTGAAGAGTTTGGCACAGAATATACTGAGGGCCCAAAGAAAGTTTTTGGAGCAGTTCACACCTCCAAAACCTCTGTGCCACCCAGATCTACCCTCTCAGAGCTGTGCTGCAGACACAGGAAGGACATCACCTCTCCCTGAAGCAGCCACAGACATCAGCCACAAGCCTGGTGAGGGCAGCAGAGCAGCCTCACAAATTATTAAACTCAGAGGAAACCATGCTCAGATCCAGCTGGGAGGCAGAAGGCCAAGGAGATGTTGAGGTGGATGGCAAACCAGCCAAGAATGTTGGAGTTGTGGTGGTTGTGGTGAGCACCAGGCCAGGCTGAGAGGGCACATCCTCCACCAGGGAGGAACAGCAGCCTGGCCAGGGCTCCCTGCAATCTTGGATTGATCTTCCCCATTCTCCATCACCACAGGATCTCACAGTCTGCAGCATTCCACACTGTGGAAGAGCAATTCACCTCAGAGCACCTCACCATGCTCACTCCCCTCTCCTCCAAACAACCTGGCCAGCAGGTTTTCCTTGGCTGGTCAAGTTTTAATGGACACCATTCAATCCCTGCTTCCCAACCAGAGCTCAGCTCCCTGGGCCAAGCTGGGACTGTCCCACTGACTCCAGAGCACGTGGATAATTCCCACAGACCATGCAGAGGAGTCAAGCAATAGAACAGGCAGACACTGGGGTTTGCAGCAGCACCAGCATCCATCCCCTCCCAGCCTGGCAGATCCTCTCCTCCCAGGAAAGCCTCTCTGCCCGAGCAGGCTTCAGCCCAAGGCATTCCTTCAATGCTGTCTTCCAAACCTTGACACCCAGGATCATGGATGTCAGGAGAGGATGGGATCTTAACTGAGAGATAAGGTGAGCAATTTCTGCATTTCCATTTCATTTTCCAGTGCATTTCTGAAACATAAACTTTAAGGAATTTAGAGATTTTAGAGATTTTTATCTAAGATTTTAGTTAGAAATAAGCCTTACTAGAGTTAATTAAAATAATAATAATAAATGAGTAGGCCTTGATGAAGTTAGGAGTTAGTAGTTAACTAATAACTGATTGCTTGTCAGCACAATGTTTATTTAGCTGGGTTTATAATGAAGAATACACAAACTGACAAATAGCTTTTAGGAACATAAGACAATTGTGGCCTCCTCTGCTCTGAAACCAACTGAAGACAAGGAATGGGAGTTCTACCAAGAGTTAATTTGTCATTTTTGCATTGAAAAGGTAGAAAGGTCAGAACGAGGAAGACTTCATTGACTTCCTCATTTTGGGACCCCTCCCCATGAAAGGGACACCGACCCATTTCAAGGGACAAAGCACGCATGCTGAATGGCTTTGGGAGTGATTGGCATACCAAGCGGGGAATGGGATGTACCAAAATGATGAATATGTATTTGTATTTTGGGTATTCAATACTTGTATAGATAAAAAGGCTCTGTAATCACCTGGAAGGTGCGGTATGTATCTGGGAGTGACCCCACAAACAATAAACACACACTTTCTAACTTTAAACTGTTAGAGAGTTTTTGTCCATCACAGTTGGATATCGGTACTAGATCAATATCCATATTTTTTTAACAAATCATTTCCTACCCATGTCCTTCTGTGGACAGCCCTGTGGCATTCCTGGGAATAGCTTTGGGATGACCACAGCCAGACCTGAGTGAAATCACTCTCCCTTCTTACATATTCCTACTGATTTCTGTGTTCTAAACACACACCAGCCCTGAGCAGTCACTGCTAGAGGGTGAAGGCTGCTCATTCTCTGGCTTTGCAAGGGATCAGCCTCAGGGATGGAGGGTTTGGAGTGATGCCTCAGGTTTCAGCTTTTATATTTTTCAGATTCTGAGCTGCTTTAGTGTGTGGGTCTGGGCTTCATATTATGGGATGGTGAACTCTCTTCACAGAATAGGGAGAAAAAACAATTCCTTCTCTAGCTGGGCACCAAGGACAAATGATCCAAATCTCAGGCCCAAGAGCACAAATGCACAAACAACGTGGACTGAAGAGATAAAAACAATCAGGATGAGACTTCATGAGCTGGAGCTGAAATTGGACAATTTACTCCAATATGAAAATGGAGCAGAACTGATCAAAGTGAGAGACCCTGTGAGCCATCGTGCATTTTGTGACCATTTTGGGGTTGTGCTGCCCAAGGTGGATCTATTGAAGCCTCTTAATAAACCCCTACTTTATTCTTTAGCTCCATCTAGTCTCTGTTCTAAGTCAACCTTCACAAGGGATCAGGAGGAAGAAAGTCTTGGAGCAATGAATTCTCAGCTCAGACTCCTCATTAGGCAATACTGGCAAAAGGGAGGTGCTATGGGATCCCTAAAAAACTTCACATCTGCATGGAACACCAACAGATTATTCATCAGAGGAAGGTTAAAGAGCAAAAGCTCCTGTGGCACAGTGTCCTGCAGCCTCGGAGAGCTCATGTGAGCTTCCTGCAGGAGAAATGCAGCCCCATGCTTATGCCACCTCAGGGACTTTGGTGTGTGAAGGAAATACAGGAATATTTGTTCTGCCTGGTCTTCCCAAGAGCCACAGACACATACATGGAAGGGATGCTGCTCACCCTGTAAACACACAGAGATTTGGGAGCAGAATTCCAGGGAAGACTGCAGAGCACAGAGCATCCCACCTGCAGAGAGCACAGCACCAACATCTTCTGCCTGGTGCAGCAAACTGGGCGAAGTTCATTCAGGAATAAAGAGAAAATGAGATAAAAGACAAGCCTGGCATCCCAGAGGAGGAAACATCCCAGTGCCACAGAATTCTGATGTGCACCAGGTCTCAGTTTAAACCATTAGAGGCTTTGGATTTTCAGACACAGAGTAAAATTCCAGCTACAGAAAAACATCCCTGCTGCTGCATTTTGGGATCTCTAGTTCTAGTACAAACACTCTGCCACCCCCCAGACATCAGGAAACATCAGCTGTAAACAACTGCCAGGTCTCCTCTTTATCCACGGAGGTTTATAATCCCTCAAACTCCCGAATAACAGTATATTTTGTTACACTGGGCAAAAATAACCTTGAAAATATGCAAAGAGTTATGATTTCTGACCTTCAAAATATTGTACTTGTGACATTTCACTTTGTTATTCCAGCCATGGACAAATGGTTCTGCTAAAATATCTGTCACAAAGTAGTCCCTTATGCCCAGACCACAATAATCTTTTTCGCAACTAAAAAGGTTCTGCTAAACCATTATGAACTTAACTCCAGGCAGGAAAGAAATGGAAAAGCTGGAGCACCAAAGCAGCAGCTATTCTTGTTAAATTGGTCTCAATTTTTCAAGGATCCTGTTGAACATTATAGAGGTCACAGCCTGCACCACTGTGAAAACCTAAGAAGTCTCTAAAACCCACGGAGTTTAATAAGGAATGCCATATTCCCAAATTGCCTCAAATGTTTTACAGGCTATTATGACTTCCACTTTTATAGGTCCAAAACACTAACCAGATAAAAAGTCTATTTCCTCCAGATTTTCAAGGTTCAATTTTTAAAAGGCCAGAGGCACAAAC